TTAACATATATAAAGTGTTTTTTTCTTTTCTTGATTTGTCTTATTAACAGGATAGTTGCCCCCCCCAAAAAAAATGTACTCACCCTCATGTCCTTCCAAACATTTATGACTTTCTTTCTTCTACAGAATATAAAGAAGATATTTTGATAAATGTTGTTTTCCAAACAGCTTTGGTTCCCATTGACTACTACTATGGACAAAAATACAATGGTAGTCAGTGGTTTCCAAAATGGTTTGTTTAGCAACATTCTTAAAAATATCATACTGTATATTATGTATCCGCAGACAGGTTTGGAACAACAACATAAATTCTGACAGAATTTAGATTTTTGGGTGGACCATTTAACTAGGCTACTTAAAAATAAACACAAAATAAATAAATTAATAAACACACAAAAATGAAATAAATCATACAAATAAATTGTACAGCCATTTACAATGTTAAATAATAAAAAATAGCAATATAAAACATTAAAATGAATGAATGAATGAATGAATGAAAAAAAAATACATTTTCCAATGGTCCAACATTGTGGTGGCGCTTCCAAAAGTGTTTGGTTACCAATATTCATTGTATCCAAAATACAATGGAAGTCAATAGGAACCAAAAGTGTTTGAATGACATGAGGTTGATTTTTTCATTTTGAGGTGGTATATCCCTTTAAATGACTTATTAATGTTAAAACATTTACCATTTAAAAAAAATAGAAATGTTCTTCCCACTGGTCCAACATTGTGGTGGTGTTCAAATATGACAATTTCAATCATTCAAGGCAGTAATATACATTCTCCACTATTGGCCACTGTTGCATTCTGGGTAAGGCATGTACAGTATGACTAGAGCAGCTCATAGGAGGATCAGCTCATTTCTTTGAATGAGGAGAAAGCTGTCATTAACCACATGCTGTAGGTCATATTAAACTGGTTCCATGGGGTGGAAGGTCGTTGTCATTAGCAACCGATTAGTGGTGTTTTGTGGTCATAAACAGACGGATTCGTGATAGTTTGTCGCGCTCAAATTGTTTCTAGGGGAAAAGACAGCAGGTGCAATTACATCCATTCCACAGGGAACAGAGATGCAGGTCAGGCTTGTTATGAAGATGGTGAAGAGAGGTGGATGTTGTTTGTTACTGTTGACTGGTTGAGAATAAGCACTATTTAGTGCTTAAATATTCAATTGACAGAAGCATATTTACATGCATGTATCTCCTCAGGGGGATAACTGCATCTGTTTTTGTTTGCTATTGGTTAAAAAATAAAGGTTAACAATCTAGGCTTCACTGTAGCTTTGTAGATCTTCTCTGATCATAAAACATGACAGTTTGAAGCAATGAAAAGGGTGCGAGGAATCAGATGATCCTCCTGTTGGCTTTCCAGGGGTGGTTCATTGCGATTTCACTTTTTTAACATTAGTTAGTGTATAATATTGCTGTTTGAGCATACACAATATCTGCAAAGTTACAAAGCTGAAAGTTACTTCCCGGGTTTGTGATGTAACAAACCCAGATAAACCCCGCCCTCGGGAAAAGGCAGCAAAGGGGGCGAGGCCATGCTGCACTACTTTAGAGAAGAGGAAGAGAAAACTAGATGAATCACGATTCTGTCTTCTAACGATTCTAATGGATTCACAAGTTTCAAAATCAATGTTCTAAAGCAGCGGTTCTCAATACTGTTCCTCGCGTCCCCTGCTCTGCACACGCTCTGCACCTCTCTCTCTCTCTCTCTCATTCAGCTCAGCTCCAACAATGAACTGTTCCAATTATACACATATTTTCACATACTGTAGCTATGAGAAGCGTTAAACATGGATGTGCGTGCAGTTGCCGTACTGTATAAAGCTTTAATCAGGATAAAACCGTATATAAAAAACTAACATAAGCAGTAGCATTTACAAATAACAGCGTATCTAAAAGTATGAGACAACAACAAACAAAAAAATCGGCCTACGCCCTCGGGAAAAGGCAGCAAAGGGGGCGAGGCCATGCTGCACTACTTTAGAGAAGAGGAAGAGAAAACTAGATGAATCACGATTCTGTCTTCTAACGATTCTAATGGATTCACAAGTTTCAAAATCAATGTTCTAAAGCAGCGGTTCTCAATACTGTTCCTCGCGTCCCCTGCTCTGCACACGCTCTGCACCTCTCTCTCTCTCTCTCTCATTCAGCTCAGCTCCAACAATGAACTGTTCCAATTATACACATATTTTCACATACTGTAGCTATGAGAAGCGTTAAACATGGATGTGCGTGCAGTTGCCGTACTGTATAAAGCTTTAATCAGGATAAAACCGTATATAAAAAACTAACATAAGCAGTAGCATTTACAAATAACAGCGTATCTAAAAGTATGAGACAACAACAAACAAAAAAATCGGCCTACCATTAAAAGCCATGCTTGCACAGGTTCTGCAGGATCCTCTTCAATAATATCCTCTGCTTCTCAATTGGGCTCAAACTGATAAGCGATATTAATGACGCCGTTGTTTACAATACAACCGGAGCACATGCCGCTGAGGTGAGGGACGGGACGTTTAGACACGCACTAGAGGCAGTTTAGCCAATCACAACACACTGGGCTAGCTAACCAATCAGAGCCCATCTAACCAATCAGAGCCCATCGCCTATTTCTGAGGGAAGGGCTTCACAAAAGAAGGAAATGATCAGCACATTTCTCAGAGAAGGGGCAGAGCGGTGTGGAATAAAGGTAAATGATGTGAAAAATAAAAAACTAAACATTAACACAGGTTAGACTGCACCCCATAAACACAATCAAGCCTAGAAAAAAAACAGTGAACCACCCTTTTAAGTGTATTATTCCTGTATCTGTGATTATAAGCAAAATTATCCCACACTAAAAGTTATACAAGAAATTACACAATTACACAATACAGACATTATATTGCTCATTTAATATTTATGTGAGCATCTGGCTGACAGTTTTGCTCATTATAGAAGTCTTAAAGTGGTCTTATTATTATTATTATTTGTGAATATTCCAATCAGATCATTACAGAATTATGTTTCAGTGTATTTTCAAACAAACAAATAAATAGTTAAATGTTTTGTGAATGTTTCAATCTATTGTCAAATTCACATAATTATTAAATAAATAAAAAACTCAATAATTTATAAACACTCGCTTTGTGAATCATTGAATTTATGTCCACAGTCATGTTATAAATAAATAAATAAACAAATAAATAAGGTTGTTTTGTGAATTTCAATTTATTGTCACATTCACCTAATAAATATATAAATAAACAGTTTGTGAATGTTTCTTTTTGTTGTCAAATTCACATAATTATTAAATAAAAAAACAAAATAATTTATAAACACTATTATGCTTTGAGAATCATTTAATTTGTTCACATTGAAGTTATAAATAAATAAATAAATTATTGTACATACTGTTGTATTCTGTTGCCCTGTTTAGTTGTTTTTTTTAATGCAATGACATCTATTATGGCACCCCCTAAAAATGTTTTTTAATAATATTTGTATAGGGCGTCCATAAAGGTTGTAGACTTGCTCGTCGTAGACATTCAACGATATGTAGAAGTCAGAGACTTCTAGACAGACAGAGCTCTCACTGTATGATCTCCATTTCCCAGCTTTATGGGACATCTGGTGTGCCGCTACGGTCTCATGGGCTCATAGCCTGGCACAAAACGCCATTGTGTGGCCACTAAGGAACAGGTGGTGCATCACAAGAGGGCAGTGCAACAAGACTCATTATAACAAGAGAGGCAACAGTCTGTCCCCTCCATGCAGTGCCATACAATGACCGACAGGCCCCTTGGCACTGGTCCCACACCAAACATCTGTCTGAGTACCCGTTAGGAGTGTGAACCACAGCAAAGATGAGGGTGCTGACAGGGAAAATATGGTAAATTATCATTCTGAGCATAAAAATACAAAACAGTGGGCATATAAAGACATACAGTACACATATAGAAAATCAATAAATATCATACTGCATCCACCAGGGAACTGTCCCTCTCACTTTAACTTTTATGGAAGAACAGTCGTCCCTAGCAAAATAATTATAGTCTTGTACAATAGATTAGACGCCAGAGGTATCATAGTTAACTAAAAGTAAACTAAAATAAAATATATTTCAGCTAGTTGCAACAATTCTCAATTTTATTGAATTTACCTTGTACTAAAATAACTGAAACATATATATTTTTTTAAATGCAACCGAATTAATAAACTTTAACTAAAATGAAAATCAATATAAAACTGAAAATAAATAAATAAATAGACTTATTAAAAAATGCCATAATACACAACAAAATTACTAAAACTTTAACTAAAATAAAAATAAAAATACAATAATAGAAAAATCATTCAAAATATTAATAAAAACTATATAGACATATAAAAAGCTAATAAAAATTCTAAAAATATACAACAGAATTACTAAAACCTTAACTATAATTAAAATGAATATAAAACTGAAATTAAAATAAAAAATACAACATAGACATATTAAAAATAATAGTAATAATAGTAATGCCAAAAAATACACAACAACTGAATTACAAAAACTTTAACTAAAATGAAAATGAAAAATACAATAATAAAAATTCAAAACATTAACAAAAACTATAATAGTTTCTCAAAGATAGCAAAATAACACTGACTCCAACTCATCCAGTAAGTAAGCAAGCAAGTAAATAACTAACTAAATAAATGAATGAATGAGATAGATAAATAAATAATCCTGGGAGGAAAAAAAACTGCCACACTTTACATGATTTACATCTGAGAAACATTAACATAAACAATAATTCATTCAGTTCTGTCCAAACGTTACAAATAACAAGACTTCAGTTCTATCTTCCAGCCCTATGGCACTGTGGGTTTATGTGTGAGTGTGTGTGTGGTATCTGCACAGAATGCCTGTGATTTTAAAGCTGACCCCCGCAGACTGAACAAGGCCCCGGGCGTGAGTGTGTGTTTGTCTGTTTACACACGTGTCTGTATGAGGGCTCGTACCTCTCTTCTTGGAATCCTTTCTGACGCTGGGTCTGGCAGCAGGCTGGAGCTCGGCCTCTGTTGACATATTAAATCCTTATTCCTTTACCGTGCAGCTGGGTGGCTGTGACTGGCTCATCTAGAGGGGCTTTCCACTGACTCGGGAACAGTCCACCGCTGCCTCTAGCCTCGACACGGCATCTCATTCACTCCCAGCAAGGGCTGCAACGGAACAGATAGAAGACATTGTGAATACATTTAGCCAAAGTGTTACCGTATAATGTTAATACCCATTGTTTGTCTCATGACATGAAAACACAAAAATGCAATTAATACATATAATGACTTGAATAAACCAATTCTATAAGCATGGTTTTTATTTCGATGGATGGATATTATATCAGAAAACAAAGCATTTTAATATGCCACACATCACATATATGCAATTATTAATAAAACCTATAAACAAAGCTGTCACAAAAGTACAAAAACAAATTATTCTCTCTCAATAACTAGCACAATATATTGTGCAGTGGGAATGTGAAAATAATAATAATAATAACAACAATAATCATAATAATAATGAACATAAAAACATAAAAATTATAAAAACTACATAAATATTCTATTATAATAGAACGATATAAAAAACTATAAATATCACACTGAAATAATAAAAAATATATATTTTATTTCAGATCAAACAATATCTCATTTTTGTTTAACTTGACATACTAAAAAAACAAACTAAACTGAAAAAAAAACCTACATAAATATTCAAATAATATAATAAAACTATATATTTTATACTTATATATTTGTGTTTCTTTAAAAATAACTAAATGTTTAAAAAAAAATTTTAATATATATTTCTATGTACTTATTTTTAATATGAAATATGTTCATATTTATTTGTTTGGTCATTCATTCATTAGATTGATCCGTTTCTTTATCTTGGACTCGCTGTATTTACACAATATATTAAAGCCTGGAATAGACTAAAATACAAAACTTCAGAAGGCCAAATGTCTTCTGAAAGCCCAGTAGATGACAACTTGCAGAACATGTAAATGTTAATAATGTTCGACAGTGTGACATCGCTCTTTCTGTAGGAGGTTTTGGCTTGTTTTCTCACAGTGTTTCCTCTCCCTGCAGCAGGAAAGAGGCAAGAGGAAGCACTAAATTGTTTCATCAGCTCTCTCTCGCTTCTCTTTCGCCTCTCACCTTGTCATCGCATGAGCAAACAGCGCCAGCTTCTTTGCCTGTGCACCTCCACCATCGCCTCCTTCGCTTCCTTCACCAGCCCTCTCCTCTGGCACTGCCAGTCGGATGGTGGGAAGCACCTTTCATGTGTTAATTGGCCTCAGTGGCACTGTAGCATCACTGCAGGTGCCAGAGCCATCAGTAGATCAAACCCGCTCCACCTCACAACAGCAATCAGACCGCAGGGACCGGCGCTAACTGCTCAGGCAGGCCGACCGAACAACATGGCATCACTTCGAAATCCATACACCTCGAGATGTATCGACTGGGATGAGTCGATGCCTCTAAGACATATAACACAGCACAACAACCTAAGTCTATGGAGTGACACGATACAATCTACAAACAACAAACAAAATCTACATTTGAAATTCCCTCATTATTAAATCACCCTCATGTTGTTACAAACCTGTACGACTTCTCTTCTTCTGTGGAACATTTTTTTTTCTTTTGTCCATATAGTGTAGGGTTATTATTGTAATAGGTTATTATAAGGTTAAAAAATACATTACTTAAAATCATTTTATTTCAGCTAGGTGTCAAGGCAATACTTCTCAAATTTGTTTAGTTTAATGTGAAGTACTAAAATAATTAAAACATGAATTAATGAATGAATCAATGAATCAATCAACCAATGAATCAATCAATCAATAAATAAATACTTACTAAGAGTGCATACATATTATATTACAATAAAATTATATAAAAACTATATACAAATAAAGCTTAAATAAACGTTCAATTATTTTATTTCTGCTAGCTGCCATTGCAATATTTCTTTTTTTTGGTTTAACTTAGAGTACTAAAATAACTAAAACTAAATATAAATAATATTAAAAATGGCATACATTTCCATTAAAATAAAATATTATAAATAATTATAAATATACTAAAAATATTTTTTAAATGTCTAAATATAAAAAAATACAAATTACACACAAAAATAAAACCTTAAAATGAAAACAGAAAATATACAAATAAAAAAAAAGTAAAATAATAATAAAAATATATTTTTTTAAAGTATATCTGTCATGCATTCTGTTTTCCTTGTGCTTTTGTTTTGCTGTGTGGACATTTAGTTTGTAGTTTTGTCTAGTTCCTGTCTTCTTATTGTCCCATGACTGATCTCATATATACAGCATTTTGTTAATCTTGTTAACCCTTTGTATATAAATCCTTGTGTTTCCTGTGTTCGCGGTCGGGTCTTGTTCATTTATGGCTATTTGTTTGGGTTGCCCTTTTTTGTTCACTTTATTGTACTTTTGTTATTATTTTATAATAAATTCACAACATTTGGATTCTGCTCTCTGTTCACCTTAATGTGACAATATAAATGATGCTAAAATAACACTGATATGGGGTCCAAAAGTCAATGTTTCGGAATCTCATTGACTTTCATTGTATGGACAAAAACTTTTTTTATTTTCTTTTTGTGAAGGAAGAAAGTCATACAGGATTGGAAAGTCATGGGAACAAAATTGTCATTTTGGGGGGAACTATCCCTTTAAAGATATTTGGTAGTATCAGATTTACTTGCAGCACTGATATGGAGTATTTTGGATGAGATTTAAATACTCAGTTCCAAGCCCACATCCGAAATGTAAAGCCTTAATACCAGTAAATCAGGAGAACTAGTCTGCCCCACAAAAAAACTAAATGTATTGCAAAGTTAAAGCCCAAGCACATCAGTTCTGAGCGCAGTAGCTTTGAGAGGCTAGTCTTGAAAAAGCCTCTAAAATCCCGGGCTCCGCTCAGCAGGCCGGGGTAGCGGCCACTGTAAGCCTCCGCCGAGGGATTTAAACAGCCATTTCATTTGGAGCTCCAGCCACCGCCTGGCCACGCGCCGCACATTGTGTGCAGAACATTAAATTCGGAATGGAGAGAGCATGTCGCAGAGCAGCGGAGATTCACACGGTGCTCTTTATCTGAGAGAAACACACAGAGAGGAGCCGCGAGTCAGTCCAATTACTGCCATTATCTCGCGGAGAGAGGGAGAGCGAGTTCCCCGCTAAGCATTTTCCCATTCTAGCCTTTTTCTTTCCATTTTCATTAGCCTCTCTCTTCACCTTCGCTCTGTACATCTGGAATCTTGTAATCCTTGATACTATTCAAGCCAGCTGGCTCGCTGTCCTGCAATGAAAATCTCTGAATGTCATATTGTCACTTTCAGGGGAAAAATACCATTGTTTGCTTCACCTTTTGTATCCAACATGAACAAAAACAGAGGAAATAGAATGGAAATTGTGGCACGGCAGTCAACGCATGACCTTGATGCTCATATGGGCTAAGCAGGTTCGAGTCTGACCTGCAACATCTCATTTTTGTCCTGTTCTTTCCCTACGCTCTCATGAAGCAAAAAAATATGTAACTACACATTTCCTGTCAGAAACATACATTTGAAGATCCTTGAAGATGACGACCAATAATTTTTCTTTTATTTGCCCTCCTCTCTTCCTCCACGAGACATAAGGCGAGGTCTGGCGCATCATTCTCCTGAGGCATATTGAGAGATATTTCTAATATCTAGGCTAAGGTCTCCTCTGGGACATGCCACACATTCAGAGCATGTGAGGAAAGTGGGTGAGCCGGAGAAGTTCACTGCGCATGAAAAGTGGTGACTGAGCCAGACATAGGAATGTATCATTTGTGGTTGCCTTTCATGTTTTTTCTTTATCTGTTATTTTCAGATGTAGTGAAATGTTTGGCAAGATAAAAACACGGCTCTAAATGACTCCAAATATTGTAGATGTGCTTACTAAACCAAACCTCACTGTTTTAAGGATGCAAGAATTAAGCTTGTGTCCTCATTTCTGTCATATCTATTCTGCACTTGTCCAGTATGGATTCCAACTGGTATGAATCCAACCTGATTTGCTAAACTGAATCACAGTTGAGGACATTAATTTTGCTTAATATTGTATATTGTATTTTTTATTCTTTATTTTTATTCAGCAAAAACTCATTAAACATTAAAATATGGTTACATTTTATTTTAAGGTGTCCTTGTTAAAGTGTAATTATACATTTAAGTACTGAGTAATTAACTACATGTACTTACTATATGGTTAGGGTTAGGATTAGGGTTTGGCTTAGGGTTATTTGCATGTAATTATACATAATTAATTTTTATTATAAAGGTAAGTACATGTAACGTGTAACAAGGACACCTTAAAATGAAGCGTTACCTAAAATACATTTATAATGTTACGAAAGATTTCCATTTCAAATAAGTTCTTTTGAACTTATTTGAACAGTCAACCTTGTTCTTTTGAATTTTCTATTCATCATCCTGAAAAAAAGGTTTCTTGGTTTCCACTAAAAATATTAAGCAACGCAACTGAGAAATGTTTTTGAGGACCAAATCAGCATGTTAGAATGATTTCTGAAGGATCATGTGACACTGAAGGCTGAAAATTCAGCTTTACCATCACAAGAATAAATTACATTTTTTTAAATATATTGAAATAAATATTTTACAATATAACTGTTTTTACTGCATTGATCAAATAAATAATAATAATGTTGTGTATATAATGTAATATAAAAATGTTGTAAATTATTGATTAGTTTATTGCACAGACCAATCATTTTGCTTCATAACACCTCAATATATCGTCATGAGCTACAGGTATTCATTTTGTGTTCCTTAATATGCTTTTTTTATTCTCAAAGATGGGCAGCCGCTGACTTGCATTTTCCGAATCATAAGGACCACAATTTCAACAAAACAATTTCTTTACTCTTCTACTCAAGAAACAAAAGTCCATCTACATATTGGATGGCCTGAGGTTGAGTCAATTAACAGTTATTTTATTTGATTTGTTTCAGTTATTCCATAGAAGAAACATTTTGGATTTCTTAAGGAACCTTTCAATGATCAGTTCCTCCTTTTTTTTTTGTCGAACATTATAATGATCTAAAGAACCTTTTTCCACTATAAATAACCTTTTGTGCAGTGG